GGGGGGGGGGGGGGTGTTGTCTAAAATTTCATTAAGTGAATTTTTGAGTTTTGAACATCGATTCAGAGTCGTATTTGAGTGAAACTAGTATGTTTGGACTCGTAATTGAATGGGTTGTCGGATTATGTGAGTTTTATTGGGTTTTGAGGTGTGGGCCCGGGTTTGACGTTTTGGTAAACTTTGGGCTTTTGATTAAAGATTCGGCCTTTATTGATTGGGATTGTTTCCTTTGGCATTATTGGATGTTCTTGAGTTGCTTTGGGTTAGTTTTGAGCCGTTCGAAAGTCGGTACGCGCGGGATGGCATTTCTAGAGTATTGTTTGGCTTTCTCGGTATTGAAATTCGGCTTGTTCGAGGCAAGTATCACTTCTAAACTTGGTGCTGGGGGTATGGACCCCTGAATATACGTGTTATATGATTGGTGTTGAGGTGACGCACATACTAGGTGACGAGCGTGTGGGCGTGCTCCGTGTGAATTATGACTCAGTTGATTATGTGGTACTGTGTATTTACCTAATCTTGTTTTATCCATGAAATTTCTACATGCTAGGGTAATTGAGTTGTGATCCATGTTAGAAACCATGTTTAGGCTACATGCTTATCTTGTTGGGACCCGCGGAGGTCATTTCTACTGTTGATTTATTCGCTTAAATTGCAATTATGTACTCAGTCACATTCATCATTGAGTTATTCGCTTAAATTACAATTATGTACTTAGTCACATTCATCATTTGCTTATCATATCTCCATCTCTGTTATCATTTATTGTCACATCATGTTATCATTGTTTGGGATGTTTGTCATGAGATTATGAGTCCGAGAGACTGGAGAGATTGATGAATGAGTTGGGGCCTAAAAGCCGGATTGTGAGTGATATTGAGGGGATCGGACTGCACGACGCAGCAGGCACTATGGGCTTTATATACATTATTGATGGGATCAGACTGTATGCCGCAATAGGCCACATTAACTTTATATGTATTATTGTTATATGGATCGGACTGCATGCTGCAACAGGCCCTATGGGCTTTATATATATATTATTGATGGGATCGAGCTGCACGCAGCAGCAGGACATGATGGTTTATATTAGCGCTTGGGCAGGATCCGCCCATCTGGAATCTGACATACCAGCAGTGAGCGCAGTATTTATTGATTCATGATGGGATCGGGCTGAGTGCCGTAGCAGGTTTCGTACAGTGCTGAGTGACTAAATGTGCTAAGTGGTTGAGCATGATGAGTGGGAGTGTGAGACAGTGATATTGTGTACTCTGAGAGTGTGAGTACATGAGTTCATCACTGTGACACATTGTATTTGATATGTATACTTGACATACACGCATAGAGATGCATTTCCTCATGCTACACGGTATTGTCACATTCATGACTTCACATGCACAATGATATGTAGGCATAGAGAGGTACTTTCCTCATGCTATCTGAGATTGAAATATTTTATCTCTTGTTGAAAGTTTTGGGAAAAATCACAGTTTTTCTGTTACACTCACATTTTGGTAATTTCGGTGAAAGATTTGGGTTTTTACTATTATACCTTAAAAGCATACCTATTTTCTGTAACTATGAACGAGCTGAGCATCATATCTTTGAGTTATTACTTGCACTGCTTTATTTATATTGTTACTGGCTGTTAGTGATGGACCCTGACCGTTGTCCAAGCTCGTCACTATTTTCAATCTAAGATTAGGTTTGTTACTTATTGAGTACATGGGGTCGGTTTTACTTATACTACACTTTTGCACCTTGCGTGCAGATGTTGGAGCTGATATTACTGTGTATGGTGGAAGCTGGCTGTGAAGATGAACCTGTGTTTCCGGTGATAGTTGCCTCTTGTTCATGGCAGCTTTAGATTTATAAAAATTTGTTTATGTACATTTCAAACAGATGGTGTATTTATTTCATACTAGCTTTGTAAACTCTAAATCTTAGAAGCTCATGATTTGTACTACCAGTCCTTGGGAAGTGTATTAAAGTTCAGTTATTTCATCATTTGTTTTCTCAGTAAATCTCATTGAATTAGATTGTTGATAATTGGCTTACCTAGCGGGTTGGGTTAGGTGCCATCACGACTAGTTAGATTTTGAGTCATGACAAATTGGTATCAAAGCTCTAGGTTCACAGGTTCCACGAGTCATGAGCAAGTGTCTAGTTGAGTCTTGCGGATGGGTATGATGACGTCCATACCTATCTTCGAGAGGTACGGGGAATTTAGGATAAACTTCTCATCTTTCTTTCCTTATCGTGCGGCATTGATTCAACTTGAAGCATATCTCTTTGAATTCATTCCACTCACTCGTATGTGCATGTGAGCGCTCGGTATCAGTTGTACATCGACGGCTTATGGATTCCATGGATAAGGTGTAAGATGTGTTTTCTGTGTTTTGGTGATGGGCCAGTCTGGACGACTTGAGGCCCGGTTTGGACCGCAACTTAGGCTCGGTAGTTTCAGTTATGTGAGCATGTAATTTTGGACTTCTATGTCCAATGGTGTCCCTATGAGTGAGACCGGTGACTCAGTGAGTGGTTGGATGGCTATTTGATGAGTAGGATGTGACTGCGGGATGTGTTCAGATGGTTTGAATGTGACGGGAAGAGTTTGCTTGAGATTTCAAAAGGATTATTGGATGCTCAATTTCTATGGATGTGTCATACAGTCTTGAGTTATGAATGTTTTTGAGAGATTATTTCGTGTTATTTCATTTGTGGAACGAAGTAGATTTTCATGACTTGTTGATGAGCTCAGACTCAGGAAGATTAAGTGATTGCATAGTAATTGTGGCTGTGAAAGGGTATACAGAGATGTCAGTTTGAGGCTAAGCAGGTGGGTTATCACCTGCGGGGTAATCTACGGATGTGTGATCCTTATGATGTTATGTGGAGGCTTTCTTTTCTACCAGTGGGTATAAGTGTTGCGATTTGAGTTTGGATTGGTTGAGAAAGTTGACCTGACCGTCACGAGGATGAATGCGAGCTTAGTAGATGATTTGAGGTATTATATGATTTGTGTTACATGAGCTTATGAAGGATTTAGTTAAATCTCACTGCGGTATTATGGCAGTAATAGAGTATGAACATTGTGAGTAATCGAATGTTTTGTTCGATGGCTTTGACACAAGTAGGGGAGTCTGCTATCGACCATTTGATTGCATGGTTATGTGTTGTACTGGTTTCGGTTTGAGGCATACTTGTGAATCAGATATAACTTGCAGAGATTGAGATCGAGGATGACTCAAGTAAAGGAATTTTTGGATACGGGTTATATTATAGTTTATGGGTATATGGAAATCATGGAATGATTTGAGTTGTTATTCATAACAGATGTGGTGCGTATGGAGTAGGAGTTTACTCGGTTGGGTTAAGACGGGGTTACTTCTTTGGGTGTCGTTGTGCTAATAAGGCACGGGTTGTTCGGCCCGCTTGGGTGGTACAATTGAGATTCGAGCAGAGTTGATGACTCTCGAGAGGGTTCTAATAGATTCAGGATTTATATGTGGCAATCGAGAATTTTTTGGATTTGTATATGGCTAAAATCTGAGATTTACATTGGATGTTGTCAAGACTCGTGGTATTTCTATATCAGCATGGATTCTACATTTCATTATCAGGAAGGTGAAAGAAACGGATTTAGATTCACATAAGGTATCTTTAAAATGGGTGTCTCGGTTGTGGACCTTTTGGGTGCTTAAAAGGGAATACAATGGCTTATGGGCCTTAGGGCGGTGTGGTTTTATTCTAGGATCATTTATGGTGAGCTTTGGGCAAGGATCATGGTGTTCTGGCAAGGAAAAGTGTCAACTTGAGGGTAATTTGAAAGGAACTTAGAGAAATAGGATAACTTGGTAGTAGGTTGGATCAGCACCGTCACGTCCCAAATTACCCCCTAGACGTGACTGGCGCCCAGCTAACACCACCTGCCAGGTGAACCATACTTTCCTACCTTAACCATTAATTTACAATATTTGATTAATTATGAGTATCCAAATAATCTTAGAATTAATTATGAATAATTAGTATCTCAAAATATTAAATTAAAACTCTAGCCCAAATTCTACACTAGACCATGGAGCATCTAAGATAATTACAAAAGACATCATATGAATAAATGATAAAGACTCTTTTGGCAGCCTCCACGAACAATGCGGCGGCTCACCTCAATAACCGAATCAACTCTAGCGAACTCGTCAGCTATTAGCTTCTTCTTCACCAATAGTATCTGCATACACATGCAGGTAAGGAGTGAGTTATACGTAAATATAACCTAGTAAGATCCTCGACCCGCCACTCTGAATACCTCTGGAACAAGTGTTAGAAAATACAAATACACCACAACAAGAACGATATAATAAATACGATAATTATACAATAACTCAATACATATTTATCAACAGAGTTAATAAGAATTAACCAACAAGAGTACACATATCTTAACACAGTATACACTAAGGACTTGTCATGACTGCAGTGAAAGAAATTAAACAACATCTTTACGAGTCCACAACGGCACCACAATTCCTCAAATATGTAATAGAGCATACACAATGCTCACTGAAGCATACACAATGCCCCAGATATAAATATCAAGAAGAATACACAATACTCGGGTGATGTACAAAGGCATACACAATGCCCCAACATCATGGCTCACAGCCGTATCAAACTCAATACCATGGCTCACAACCGTATCAAACTATCAAACTCAACATCATGGCGCACAGCCGTATCAAACTCAACACCGTGGCTCACAACCGTATCAAACTATCAAACTCAACATCATGGCTCACAGCCGTATCAAACTCAACACCATGGCTCATAGCCGTATCAAACTCAACATCATGGCGCACAACCGTATCAAACTCAACACCATGGCTCACAGCCGTATCAAACTATCAAACTCAACATTATGGCGCACAGCCATATCAAACTCAACATCATGGCTCACATCCGTATCAAACAATCAAACTCAACATCATGTTTCACAGCCGTATCAAACTATCAAACAAATTATAAAATAGTTTTTTTTTTTGTATTTTTCATTAAATAATATATTTGCGGCTAGTCGAAGACCACCGATTCTGCCAAGTGCACGCTTGTCCCAATGCATGGACCAAGCAGAGAAAATACATTTTCAAAACGGGTTTTAGAAAAGCAAGCATCAAAGCTTAAAGTCTCACTTACCTCGCTAGCGGGAAGTTCTCCAGCCTTGCAACGTCTAGAACACCAACCAAACGGTCTCTAATGGCATCAATCTATCCAAAATATTGAATAACACATCCTAATTAGTCTACGTGGATAATTTTCATAATCTGAGGACAAGTCAAAATCAAAGTCAATGCCCGGTCTAATTAATAACTAATTTGTACACAAACAAGGTCAATTAGTAGTACTTCGAAAAGTACCGAAACAGTAGCTTCAGATGAACTTATACCCTATAATTATTTCACTTTATTATTGCATCATCATAACTTGCAATCACTACACCATAATCGATTCTTATATGTCACGTACTGTAGCAGTGTAAAGTAACGAAATAACTGAGGCCTTGTTTACAAACCTTCAATATTATAACAAATCTTTAGAGACTCAATCATTACTTCATCATTGTCGCATCGTCATTATTAGCTTACATTGAAGAAAGAATAGAAATTTGAATCTGTATACACTAGAATTGCATTCTATAGCAGTAACTTTCAATAATACTAATCATTATCTCATTACTATGCCATTATTATTATGCCACCATTATAAGAATATAAATTATAACCCCACCACTCTTCTTCATCAATATAATCTATACTATTGTAGGGGTTTAGATATATTACCTGTATGCTTGAAGTTTTCCACAAAATTCCACACAGAGTTAGGCTTAGATTTTCCCACAGATGTGCCGTCACGGTGCCCTCCTTGTTCTTCCCTATATTCTGGTATCTTCTAATGAAACAAGGAATTAAAATTTTCCCTATTTAAAATTGTAAGTCCTAAAACGTGTAGTGCATCAGATGTGGGTTTTGAGCCCACTATTTTATTCATATTCTATTTTTATTATATTGCTTACTAATATTGTCTAATTATAAAGTAGGCCCACTAACTATTTATATAATATATAAATTCCCTTTCACTTACCATAAAAATAATTACTTTTCCAATCCAATAACTAATAAGTATATATAAAGTATTTCGAATTATTACATTCTTCCCACTTAAATAATTGTTCGTCCTCGAACTAGTTAGAAAGTGTAATTGAAGTATAGAATTACTGCGGGTATTTACTCGGCACGTCAACCTCGAACTCCCTTGTAGTTTCATCCATCAAATGTGAGCTACAACACTTTTACTTAAGTAACATTTTTCGACCTCAAAGTCACATTTCTCTATTAATAGTAGCTATGGAACCTCCTTCGTGATTTAAAATTTTCATCTAGTTCCACTGAATTATATAATTTTTGTCATAAACGCACACCCTGAACACGGGCACATAAAACAACCCAACCTAATAAAAAAATCTCATAACTCCTTTACAGGAAAATCCTACAAAAGACTTGTCTACCTTTCACGAGCTCTCAGTCACTATCTTATCTATTGGTATATGATATTTATCTGCTCTAAAAATCTAAAATCATCCCCGTATGCAACCTAACCCTTTTCAAGGCTTGCTAGACCAAATCTGGACCCAATAGTTGTGACTCCTCAAGTTTGAACAAATCAACCAGCAAATGACATAAGCATCTATTTAAAACCTCAAACAACAAGATTTGTATACGGAGTTAATGTATGTATGGACTCGATCAAAATTAACTGATTATAAACCACTCACTAGGTAATATTCATCTGGCTAGTGTTGGGTTTGGATACTTATACGCTCATATGCCTCTACTATGCTGAAATACATCCAAGCGCTATGACCACAATTCAATAATGGAACACATCCACTGCTCTTACATACAACATTGTGGAACACATCCAAACACTCCTACATGCCGCTCTTATGTAAGACAACGCTAGAACATATCCATACGCCCCTACATAATGCTCTCACACACTGCGGTGCTGGAACATATCCATACGCCCCTACATAATGCTCTCACACACTGCGGTGCTGGAACACATCTATACACCCCATTTTATATAATGTTACCCTTATCACACATGACGATACGGGCGTACTATTGCATAATATCTCTAACATATCACTTTATAGGATAATATGATGTATAAGTAATTCAGACTGAATTAGGCATGGAATCTTGACAAGCCTATCACGGTAATTGCAACTAAGATCATAACTTTCTCGACAAATATGATAGACTAATTAACCACGAAGTCTACAATGGTACATTTTCATTGTCTTTCAGAATTAAACATATTTACGGTAATTTCCTGAATTTCTAACACTCTTATTTAATATATGAACAAGTCAAATAATAAAGAACAATATTTTTGATATCTCGTATCACCCATTGTCATTTTTATCTCTCATTCTCCAATTCCAAGCTATATTTGTGGATCTTGGACTTACTAAAGTTTATAAACATTGCATCTCTTAGAGTACAAATCTCCTCAAGTCAACCCCCACGATTATCTTTAGCTATAGTGCTCTATGGTTATTCACTATCAAATAGGTTCCGCCTATAAGTGCTGATGACTAAACCCTCCAATAAGGTCAGGACTCTCACACTGATAAACTTTGCTTGCACAAACCAAGACAATTATGATATCACATATGCTATAGCCTTAGCAAGCATAATATCATCGATCTATCACCCTTTTACTAGAAATCACAAGGCCCAAAATATCATAATATAAGAATTAAAATTTACAACTATAGCCCCGGTATTAATCGATATTATCTCAATACCCATAGGACCCTCCACAATTACCGCACATGGTTTTATCCACTATGAAAATATTCACTGTGTCATTAATGAATAAAAAGAACAGTTTGTATACCTAGTTTATCTAGTCCATCACAATTACTAACCATAACAGGTTTAGGAACATGTATTCAAAATATCAAACACTATTTTCCACTCATTATGTCCAAATCACAAGTCTTATCTTAGAATATGAGGTAACACCCTATAAGTGGAGATATAAATCAGCTGAGTATGACAAAAGTTCTTTCTTTTCATGGCACTCTACTTCATTTGTCTATTATCGAAAATTATATGCATAAATCTATTGTTCTTCTCAACGAACATAACAACCTCAAAATGATATATTTGGTCTAGTGACCTCTTAATCCCGAAACCTTGCAGTTTTCTTCTTCTTTCCTTTTAGTCCCTTTGACTCCACAAAGCCATTCTATAATAGAGAACAAGAGTATACTAAGTTTCTAAAAATATATTAGTATTCAAGTCTATCTCCTTAATAAGCGGTACACTCGATAAGTCTTCTGAAAATACATTTGAAAATTCATTAATTATAAAGACTAATGCAATAGTCGATTACTCTATTGTGGTACCCTGATTTATAGTTAAATAAACACATAACCTTACTTATCATGTCTAGAACCTTTATTGACAAGGTAGCTTTGCCTAGAGGCATACCAAGTGAATCCTCTATACTAGACTCAATCGAAATAGAAAATTCACCAATCTTTCATGGCAAGCAAGTGTAAGGAAACACAAAGTCGACTAATCCAAGCACAAGATGACCTCAAGTCAACCATGCTATGTTACCACAAGTTCGTAAGTGTATCATAACTCTAAACCATATCTACATATATCTGATAGATCGTTCCAATAGTAAGACTCTACCACTTAGGCTAAAACCAAATGATAGATCCAAGTACTCAAATCTCTCCCCTTTTAAAAAAAAAAATCCTCATATACAACTCATAATGTGTTGCTCTTCTTCCTCAAATATATATTTTATCAAACACAAGATATGATAATAAAACTGTACAAACTGATTACTTTTCTCAAAGATAGTCATGTCATTTTATTTTTTTTCTCAACTTCAATTAGTATTCATCTATTTCGTTCCGATGTGTGGCAGTCTCACTACTCCATGTATAATGCTACTATGTGGTAAGTTTTATGCTTTAACGTTTTAGTATATTGGTGCCTAGCCACATACTTAAGTCTTATTTGCTCTCACAAGCTAGCATTCCTATACGGACTCACCATCAACAGGTTTTGCATCACGTAGTACACTACTATGCGTATACTCATTGCACTTGAATTATATACTCTTACGTCAGGGTCACACTTATAATATCACCATTACAATATCACCAATAATACCAAATCACTTCAAGAGGCATTTAGCATAGAACCATATAATTACTTTCTTAAAAATATCCTTCACAATCAAGCCTAACAAGCTAGACCTAGCTAAGCTATTACATTAAAATTGTTACTTTTCTGCTCAACTATTTCCCTCTCTTGATCAGGCTCATAAAGGAGAGTTGTACCCATTACCTCGAATGTTGAATAAGTTACTCTTAAGCAAAAATTATATCCTTGAACCACTTTACAAATTTATGTCTAAAATATTGGCTAACCCTCGAAGTTCTTTTTAAAAAAAGAGTTTGGGCAAGGTGTCTTTAGAAAAAAGCTATCCCAAAGTTTACAAATTTCTTTTTTTGTTTTTCCAATCCCATCAACAACCGAAGCACATAATATCCCATGTACCCAAGGCAACTCTTAGCTGCACATATATTTTTCAAACTTCTAGCGTTGCCTAACAGAGGAGGATAAGCGTATCCTAGTCATCTGCGAAAGGACATCCCAAGGTTCAACTTGATTTAGCTCAATGCACGAATAAGAAATGAAAGAAGAGAAAACATCCTAGATGTTCAGTAGCCTCAAGGTCATAAGTATGGATGTCTACATACCCATGGACAAGACTCTACCAAACACTACTCCATAACCCAGAACTTAAAGCCTATGCTCTCATACCAACTTTGTCACGTCCCAAATTACCACCTAGACGTGACCGGCACCCAGCTGACACCACCTGCCACGTGAACCATACTTTCATACCTTAATCATTAATTTGTAATATTTGATTAATTATGAGTATCCAAATAATCTGAGAATTAATTATGAATAATTAGTATCTCAAAATATTAAATTAAAACTCTGGCCTAAATTCTACACTAGACCATAGAGCATCTAAGATAATTACAAAAGACATCATATGAATAAATGATAAAGACTCTTTTGGCAGCCTCCACGAACAATGCGGCAGCTCACCTCAATAACCGAATCAACTCTAGCGAACTTGTCAGCTATTAGCTTCATCTTCACCAATAGTATCTGCATAGACATGCAGGTAAGGAGTGAGTTATATATAAATATAACCCAGTAAGATCCTCGACCCGTCACTCTGAATACCTCTAGAACCAGTGTTAGAAAATACAAATACAGCACAACAAGAACGATATAATAAATACGATAATTATACAATAACTCAATACATATTTATCAACAGAGTTAATAAGAATTAACTAACAAGAGTACACATATCTTAACATAGTATACAGTAAGGACTTTTCATGACTGCAGTGAAAGAAATTAAACAACACCTTTACGAGTCCACAACGGTACTACAATGCCTCAAATATGTAACAGAGCATACACAATGCTCATTGAAGAATACACAATGCCCCAAATATAAATATCAAGAATAATACACAATGCTCGGGTGATGTACAAAGGCATACACAATGCCCCAATATCATGGCTCACAGCCGTATCAAACTCAACTCCTATAACGACCCGATCGGTCGTTTTGAGAATTTACACTTTTCTCGGTAGTTTACGGGTGTGAGTAGCTCTGTATGATATATTATGACTTATGTGAATCGTCGGTTTTGACTTTCAGGTTATTCGGGACTGATTTAGAAGAATGATTCTCAACTAGGGAGCTTTAAATTTGAAAGAGTTGACCAAGTTTGACTTT